ACTATTAATTAATGACACATATTTCACATAATTTCGTAATAGTTAAAATAATATAATGAGGTTCGATAGAATACTTATTCACCATATTCATATTGTATTATGGTATAATAGATGTAAATAATTTCAATAGTTTTCTTCTTCACCATCACCAAATTTTAGGTTACTTCATCACTAAGAAACTATGTTAAAAGACTATTAATTAATTACACATATTTCATAAACTTTTGTAATAATAAAAATTAAATACTGAGACTCGATAGTATATTTTTTACCATATTCATATTCTATTATGGTATAACAGATGTAAACAATTTCAATAGATTTCTTCTTCACCATCACCAAATTTTAGGTAACTTCATCACTAAGAAACTATGTTAAAAGACTATTAATTAATGAGACATATTTCATATAATTTCGTAAAAGTTAAAATAATATTATGAGGCTCGATAGTATATTCATTCACCATAGTCATATTGTGTAATGGTATAATAGATGTAAACAATTTTAATAGTTTTCTTCTTCACCATCACAAAATTTTAGGTTACTTCATCACTAAGAAACTATGTTAAAAGACTATTAATTAATGACACATATTTCACTTAATTTCGTAATAGTTAAAATAATATAATGAGGTTCGATAGAATACTTATTCACCATATTCATATTATATTATGGTATAATAGATGTAAACAATTTCAATAGTTTTCTTCTTCACCATCACCAAATTTTAGATTACTTCATCACTAAGAAACTCTGTTAAAAGACTATTAATTAATGACACAAATTTTATAAACTTTTGTAATAATTAAAATTATATAATGAGGCTCGATAGTATATTTATTCACCATATTCATATTGTATTATGGTATAATAGATGTAAACAATTTCAATAGTTTTCATCTTCATCATCACCAAATTTTAGGTTACTTCATCACTAAGAAATTATGTTAAAATACTATTAATTAATTATACATATTTCATAAACTTTTGTAATAATTAAAATTAAATAAGGAGGCTCGATAGTATATTTTTTACCATATTCATATTCTATTATGGTATAACAGATGTAAACAATTTCAATCGTTTTCTTCTTCACCATCACCAAATTTTAGGTTACTTCATCACTAAGAAACTATGTTAAAAGACTATTAATTAATGAGACATATTTCATATACATTCGTAATAGTTAAAATAATATAATGAGGCTCGATAGTATATTGATTCACAATTTTCTTATTGTATAATGGTATAATAGATGTAAACAATTTCAATAGTTTTCTTCTTAACCATCACCAAATTTTAGGTTACTTCATCACTAAGAAACTATGTTAAAAGACTATTAATTAATGACATGTATTTCATATACATTCGTAATAGTTAAAATAATATAATGAAGCTCGGTCGTATATTTATTCATCATATTCATATTATATTATGGTATAATAGATGTAAATAATTTCAATAGTTTTCTTCTTCACCATCACCAAATTTTAGGTTACTTCATCACTAAGAAACTATGTTACAAGACTATTAATTAATGACACATATTTCACATAATTTCGTAATAGTTAAAATAATATAATGAGGTTCGATAGAATACTTATTCACCATATTCATATTGTATTATGGTATAAAAGATGTAAATAATTTCAATAGTTTTCTTCTTCACCATCACCAAATTTTAGGTTACTTCATCACTAAGAAACTATGTTCAAAGACTATTAATTAATTACACATATTTCATAAACTTTTGTAATAATTAAAATTAAATAATGAATCTCGATAGTATATTTTTTACCATATTCATATTCTATTATGGTATAACAGATGTAAACAATTTCAATATATTTCTTCTTCCCCATCACCAAATTTTAGGTTACTTCATCACTAAGAAACTATGTTAAAAGACTATTAATTAATGAGACATATTTCATATACATTCGTAATAGTTAAAATAATATAATGAGGCTCGATAGTATATTCATTCACCATAGTCATATTGTATAATAGTATAATAGATGTAAACAATTTTAATAGTTTTCTTATTCACCATCACAAAATTTTAGGTTACTTCATCACTAAGAAACTATGTTAAAAGACTATTAATTAATGACACATATTTCACATAACTTCGTAATAGTTAAAATAATATAATGAGGTTCGATAGAATACTTATTCACCATATTCATATTATATTATGGTATAATATATGTAAACAATTTCAATAGTTTTCTTCTTCACCATCACCAAATTTTAGGTTACTTCATTACTAAGAAACTATTTTAAAAGACTATTAATTAATGACACAAATTTTATAAACTTTTGTAATAATTAAAATTATATAATGAGTCTCGATAGTATATTTATTCACCATATTCATATTCTATTATGGTATAATAGATGTAAACAATTTCAATAGTTTTCATCTTCATCATCACCAAATTTTAGGTTACTTCATCACTAAGAAATTATGTTAAAAGACTATTAATTAATTACACATATTTCATAAACTTTTGTAATAATTAAAATTAAATAATGAGGCTCGATAGTATATTTTTTACCATATTCATATTCTATTATGGTATAACAGATGTAAACAATTTCAATCGTTTTCTTCTTCACCATCACCAAATTTTAGGTTACTTCATCACTAAGAAATTATGTTAAAAGACTATTAATTAATGAGACATATTTCATATACATTCGTAATAGTTAAAATAATATAATGAAGCTCGGCCGTATATTTATTCATCATATTCATATTGTATTATGGTATAATAGATGTAAATAATTTCAATAGTTTTCTTCTTCACCATCACCAAATTTTAGGTTACTTCATCACTAAGAAACTATGTTACAAGACTATTAATTAATGATACATATTTCATATACATTCGAAATAGTTAAAATAATATAATGAGGCTCGATAGTATATTTATTCACCATATTTATACTGTATTATGGTATAATAGATGTAAACAATTTCAATAGTTTTCATCTTCACCATCATCAAATTTTAGGTTACTTCATCACTAAGAAACTATGTTAAAAGACTATTAATTAATTACACATATTTCATAAAGTTTTGTTATAATTAAAATTATATAATGAGGCTCGATAGTATATTTATTCAATATATTCATATTGTATTATGATATAACAGATGTAAACAATTTCAATAGTTTTCTTATTCACCATCACCAAATTTTAGGTTACTTCATCACTAAGAAACTATGTTAAAAGACTATTAATTAATGACACATATTTCATATACATTCGTAATAGTTAAAATATATAATGAGACTCGATAGTATATTTATTCACCATATTTATATTGTATTATGTTATAATAGATGTAAACAATTTCAAAAGTTTTCTTCTTCACCATCACCAAATTTTAGGTTACTTCATCACTAAAAAACTATGTTAAAAGACTATTAATTAATGACACATATTTCATATCATTTCGTAATTGTTAAAATAATATAATGAGGCTCGATAGTATATTTATTCACCATATTCATATTGTATTATGGTATAACAGATGTAAACAATTTCAATAGTTTTCTTCTTCACCATCACCAAATTTTAGGTAACTTCATCACTAAGAAACTATGTTAAAAGACTATTAATTAATGACACATATTTCATATCATTTCGTAATTGTTAAAATAATATAATGAGGCTCGATAGTATATTTATCCACCATATTCATATTGTATTATGGTATAATAGATGTAAACAATTTCAATAGTTTTCTTCTTCACCGTCACCAAATTTTATGTTACTTCATCACTAAGAAACTATGTTAAAAGACTATTAATTAATGAGACATATTTCATATACATTCGTAATAGTTAAAATAATATAATGAGGCTCGATAGTATATTGATTCACAATTTTCTTATTGTATAATGGTATAATAGATGTAAACAATTTCAATAGTTTTCTTCTTAACCATCACCAAATTTTAGGTTACCTCATCACTAAGAAACTATGTTAAAAACTATTAATTAATGACACGTATTTCATATACATTCGTAATAGTTAAAATAATATAATGAAGCTCGGTCGTATATTTATTCATCATATTCATATTGTATTATGGTATAATAGATGTAAATAATTTCAATAGTTTTCTTCTTCACCATCACCAAATTTTAGGTTACTTCATCACTAAGAAACTATGTTACAAGACTATTAATTAATGACACATATTTCACATAATTTCATAATAGTTAAAATAATATAATGAGGTTCGATAGAATACTTATTCACCATATTCATATTGTATTATGGTATAATAGATGTAAATAATTTCAATAGTTTTCTTCTTCACCATCACCAAATTTTAGGTTACTTCATCACACTACGCCAAATAAGCTATTTAATAGCGCTTTTTTTTGTTTTTGATAGCGCTTAAAAGTGCTATTAACCGCGCCACTATTGTAAATATTTCTTATTTAATAGCACTTTAAAAGCGCTATTAAAGTACCAATTTATAATAGCGTTTTAATTAAAGTGCTATCAAAGTCAGTATTTTGCATGTTTTTTGTTTGTTTTTTTATAGCACTCTAAACAAAAAGCGCTAATATATAACATATGTTTGATAGCGCTTTCAAATAAAGTGCTAATAAATGGTACATATTTGGTACAATATTTTTAATAAGTACAGTACAATATTTTTTCTTACACAATCATTTTTTTTGGTGTAAATATAAAATAACTATATTCAATTCAACACAAATAACGCTTTAAGTTACTCATTGCATATATATTATGATCCATCAAATACCAAATAACATTTTAAATTACCAAATCCTATTGTTTCCAAATATCATAACATATAGAATATTAAGAGGGCGTTTGCATAGCCAAATTTGTAGATGCCCATCTATGAGTACTTCAATCCAAATCCAAAAACATACAATCAAATTCTCTAAACAAAACACCAAAAAAATAAGAAAGGATAACAAAACAATCCCATGTAGTAACCACCTTCATGATCCAAAAGCGTTGAACTCATAGATACAATCACTAATTAGGCAAAATAATTGCTTCTTGTTTTCCTGTATCATAGAAGGAATATTGATTATGTATTGTACAATAAAAACTAATTCAACATATAAAGAATAATCAAACATTTAATATGGGTCTAACAAGAAGCGCATAAAATAAGGAATGATTATTATAAACTAATAACAATAAATCGATATAACTAATGCAATAATTGAACTAATTAAGTCTAACAAGGTTTGGAGACTTTATGAAAGAAAGAAAAGGAGAGGTGTGGAGAACAGTTCCACATAAACCCACTAAGGCAATTTAGTTACAAACTTCTCCTTAAGAGTAGGAAGGCAGGGTAGTGGGAGAAGACACGTTCATTGTGGGTTAGCATTTTGGCAGAGAAAGAAAAACTGTTTTCTTCTTTATTTGAGAGGAGCTCTTAGCTCTGGAATTGTAATAAAGAATTCATTCTCATTTCAATTAATAATATCATTTCCAGTTTTACTCGTCTTCTATTCTACTCTGCTCTATCAATGATTAATTGTCCTGATAACTAAATTTATGAGTGAATCCTTGAAAATAAATGATTTCGTGTCTCCTACACCCCAGACATAAGGATATTTAAGGGTTTCAGTATGGAAAATGCACAGGTCCACCCTACCCAGTGCTAAAAATCAATTTTATTTAGACGAGGGGCCCACAACTTGTGAGTATCTAAGTTTAGATTATAAGGTAAAGGCTCATAAATTGTGAACAGTTAAATATTAAAAAGGAAAAGCAAATAAACTGAAATTGAATTACCACAAGCTATTGTAACCTGTGTGCATAACAAAACTCATCAGTTTCCCTTTTGACAACAACAAGCTAAATATATGAGTTGAAATAATCGTAAAAACATTTGAATATATAAATGATAACATAACATCTAGCGTACTCTAAGGTGATAAATTTCAACTGCATCAGTATATGGTTTATTTAAGAATAAAATTATTAGAAATAAACTTAAGAATGATATATACCTTTTCATATTCATCTAACCACTTTTCCTCCTCAGCTGCAAATTTCCACTTCTCCACCCTATCTAAGATATCTCTTCTGCTTAGAGCTTGCTCTTTGGCCATTCTGATTTGATCATCCATGCTTTGAAGCAATTCAGACATATCGATATTACCTGCAGAGCCATTAGAGCTTATTAAATGAAAATCTAAACTAAGAGAAGGCATTATGAATGCACATATAAGTCTGTAACAACAGCTCCACAGGGTATTATTTAAAAGGGAAACAAAGGAAATTAAAGGTACATTTGTAAGTAGCCATATTAACATTTCAAGAAAAATTTTTAATAATACTTTAGGCATAATGTATGTACCAGATTCTATGCGGCTGGTGAGAATCTTTCTAGCCGCTTCACTATCCACATCCATATGAACTCCTCTGTAAATTTCTTCAAGTTCATTATGTCTTTTAAACACTAATTCCTTCATCTTACTAGCTTTCAAAACATTTAAGCGCTGAACTTCAACCTCAACCTACATTAATATAAATAATCAAGCCACCAAAATTCAAACTATGCAATTAAAATTGCAATGCAAGTTGAAGTCATTGGAGGTTTCACACCTGCTTAATGACATCAGCAGAGAGGCATCCTCGGATTGACACTTCGTCAACTGATGCTGAAATTAATCTAGTAACATGGCTAAATGCTTTTTGCTCATCAATTGGCATCTCCATAAGATCCCATAACTCTACCAAGAACTTAGTAAGTTCTTGTACCTGCAAGAAAGTAAAATTATATTCATAAATCTTTTAAGAACCTGTTTGGAAAAGAGTGCTCCATCAGTAACAATCATACATGCAATCCATTCTTATTTATTTACATGAATTAAAACAATAATACCCTTCCGACCTTATGACTCCATCCTCACGCCATATTGGAAAAAGAAGCAAACATATCTCATACACAAAAAGACTCGTTCCATGGGTAAAGAAAAGAAAAATCATGACTTAAGTTTCATTCGTTGCGTCTTAAACCTTTTTTAACAGAAATTTTAACCATGTTTAAACAAAATTGAGTTTTACTGACCAATACGCTTTCTTTTTACTTCAGAATAACCTAAATTCCAATAGATTACAGAGCAAGATACTAGAAAATAACAGACATTGTATCAAAAGCTGTTGCAACTCAATGCAAGAAATGAATGAGCTGACTAGGATGCTTATAGCCGTTTAACACTAAACCGCAACTCTTGGTAAAGCTTTTACAACGATAATTTGCTGTATCAGATGAGATGATCTGTATTACTTGAAATGGCAACAGTGAGACACATACATATACATGCAGCCACAGGTATGACTTCATTCCCAGTATTTCAGTAGATCAGAAAAGGTCACCTTTTGTAGCCTTTGTTGTTTTTCCTGCTTTAATGAATGAACAACCCCAGTTAATGCAGCAAGAGTGTCATTGCTAATGCTTAGCGGTGCGCCATTTGATGAATCGCTTAAGCTTGGGTGAACGCCATTTAAAGTCTTCTTAAAATCAATTGACATTACTGTTGAAAGCTCGCTAATAATAGTGATATGATTCTTCACTTTCAGCTGGCGCAATATCTGATTGGATTGAAAACGAAGCAATATTAAGCTAAGCATTAAAAGGAAATAAAAAAATATGGAAGTGCCAATATTATGTGCTGGTGTTGTTGACTTCTTAGCTTCTACTGTGGTAAACAATAGTTGCAACATCGATTCCGCATCTTTATTATTGTCAGAGACTAATGTTAATCTGAACCAGTGCAGTTACTTCATCAAGGTGAACCAGTGCAGTTACAGAAAGGTTTCTTTGAATCAAGAGCTTATGCAGTTTTCTTGCTTAAATCTATGACAGAAGTAGCTGAACCAGTGCAGTTACTTCATCAAAAAACCGATTTATTCGTGGAACTGGTGCAAGTTTTGAAGGATCAAATATCACAAAAGGTATCAAAAGCAGCCCTTCAGACACTAATTATCCTCTGTCCATGTGGAAGAAACAGAATCAAAGGTGTTGAAGCAGGAACAGTTCCTGTCTTAATAGAGCTTCTGTTAGAGAATTGCAAAGACAGAAAACCAAATGAAATGATGTTGGTTTTATTGGAATGTCTCTGTCAGTGTGCAGAAGGAAGAGCTGAACTTCTGAGACATGGTGCAGGAATGGCTGTTGTATCTGCGATCCGCGATGAAATAAACGATGTCGAGATAATCTACAAACCGCTTTCTGATATGCTCGAATGCGTAGGCGAAGCGGATGTAGTTTTCACAAGCACGGCATCAGAGAATCCTTTGATTTTAAAACAACATGTTAAGGAACTTCCTTTCGCAAGCGAAGAAATGGGACGAAAGCGCCTCTTCGTCGATATTTCTGTTCCGAGGAACGTAGGTTCGTGCGTCGATGACCTCGAATCAGTCAAAGTTTACAATGTCGACAACCTTAAAGAGGTAGTGGCTGCTAACAAAGAGGACAGACTAAGAAAAGCAATGGAAGCACAAGTGATCATCGGCGAAGAATCGGGCCAATTCGAAGCATGGAGAGACTCGTTAGAAACTGTTCCTACTATCAAGAAACTGAGAGCTTATGCTGAAAGGTTAAGGATTGCTGAGGTTGAGAAATGTTTAGGTAAAATGAGTGATGAGGATATAAATAAGAAGACACAAAAAGCAGTGGATGATCTTGGTAGAGGTATGGTGAATAAAATGCTTCATGGTCCAATGCAACATTTGAGATGTGATGGGAGTGATAGTAGGACTTTGAGTGAAACACTTGAGAATATGCATGCTTTGAATAGAATGTTTGGTCTTGAAACTGAGGTTTCTGTTTTGGAGCAGAAGATTAGAGCTAAAGTGGAGCAAAAACCATAGTGAGATTAATATGAGACCATTGTTGTTGATTAAACTCATTTGTTTAGGATTGAGAATCATGTCAAAAGACAATGATAAAACAGAGAACAATAATAAAACCTCAACATTGTATGAAAAACATAGAACAGTGATGAAACCAACCTGAATGTAGTTAATTATATCAAAGTTTGCAAGTCTTGATCCACCCTCTTGCTGTCTACAGAGCCACTGATCAAGTTTTTCCTGAAATCAAAAAAACATCCAACATTAACGAAATGCCAATTTTTGCTTGGATTGAAAAGAAGAATCGATTAATTGTGACTAAATCACACCAAAACAACAGAAGCCTTATCACTCAAACTAGAACAAACTTTTCAACTCATCTTCAACCAATGTACTGACTTTTTTGCTCTCCATAAAACTTCATTCCATCCACTATGAATGATATATTCAGGACCTACCTTAGAAAATATGTTATGTCTTTTTTATGACCTTTTGGTGTACAATATGAATGAGAAGGAAAATTTAAGTCATTTGAAATAAACATTAACAACATCAGCAAATGACTGCTTTGTGGCTAACAACGCTAAATGCAGATTTGACAAAATAATATGTCCTAGGTTTTATAAAATAATATGTCCCTAGGTTTTACCTCATACTTCACCTTCTATTTCCTTACGGGAGGACATTCATGCTTCCTTAGAACTTACAGATTTTTAGCCGCAAACCTGTATTGGGTTGAAATACAAAAGAAAGTCGGAATTATGTGAGGTATTGTGACCTTTGTGACATAGGTCACAGACAAAACTATGCAACAACAATTCTCAGGATTATTACAACCTCGCTTAGTTCCTAATGTTGTTTGGGAAGAAGACCTTTCCTTAGATTGCATTACAGGATTTCTAAAGTCTAAGAGGTATGAAGCAGTGCTGGTAGCAGTGAATATACTGTCCAAATTAAAAGGAGTGTGCTTGTGTTTGTTCCAACAAGAGAATAAAAGAGATTTTAATTGAAGAAAAATACAAATTACATTTTTCATCTCTTTGTAATAAACATTTAAGACTATTAACTATAAAAGTATTACACTCATTCTAAATACCTAACTTTTGGAAGGGAGATAAAATTAGTTTAGACATTAGGAGAAATGTAACTTCCTTCTACTTAATTTCAACCAAACACAGAAGAGCAAAACATCTAATATGAAAACAGAGGAAGTAAATCTAATTTTGATTAGTTGGCAAACGGTGTAGCATTTTGTGTGACGCGTCCAATGCTTGTTATTCATTCTCACAGGGGTGAACTACAGAAAATATGTAAATAATTAAGGCCATGAAAAAAAAATAGTTCAAGCTAGTGTATTACAAGATACTGGAAAAATTCTTTTGACTAACTAAACCTTACAAAAACTAAGAATAATCCCTTCCAACTAGCAGATACAAAACTAACTCAAAAACTGGGGAGGCGTAATTTTGAGGTACCAAAACTTTGACATATCAAAACTCACAGCAACATTTCTGCAATCTGGATTGCGTTAAGTGCAGCTCCCTTGCGAACTTGATCCCCGCAAACAAAAATGTCCAACCTAACAACTCAAATTTCACGAACCCTCACAACTGCAACTTAACCTCACAAACCCTCATTACAGCTACTCAAAATCACGAATATCCGTCAACACAAAGACATCATAACGCTCACAAACAACACAGAGAATCAACGGATAGCAGAAACTGAAAAAAGAAATATTACCGGATACAAATGAAGAGAGGGATGACGAGGACGTAGGTGAGATGACAAAGGGTTGAGTTCGACGGAGAATGAGATTTGGTTGTTCTTTCTTTTCGTTGTTTCCTCCTTCTGTTTGAGTGTCGTTTGAGAAGTGAATCTGAATCTGAATCGATGGTGAATCCGATGGCTGAGGAATGGATCCGGGTGAAAACCGAAGAAAGGGATGACGGTGGTAAATCAATGACTAACGACGGTGAATCAATGAAAACCGAAGGAAGCAGAGGAAGATTTGACGGCGGTGAATCAGTTGGGAGAATCAATGGCTAAGAAGAAAGCAGAGGAAGATAGTGTTTTTGTTTTTGGCGGTGAGTGGATGCGGGAAGCAGAGGAAGATATTTTCTGAAAATGTGTTTTTTTTTTATTTTATCAATTAATTAATTAATTCATTATTATATATAACATAGCGCTTTTTAATAAATGCTATTATATAGGTAGTCAAATAATAGCGTTTTATACAAAATGCTATCTTAAAGAAGTTTAATAATAGCGTTCTGGTACAAAGTGCTATCATAATTACATAGTCTGTATTATATAATAGCGCCCGATTAAAAAGTGCTATTATAAATGTGTTTTTTCCATTTTAATAGCATTTTTTTTAAAAGTGCTATTAAATTAGGTGATACAAAAAATCATTTTTGGCGTAGTGTCACTAAGAAACTATGTTAAAAGACTATTAATTAATTACACATATTTCATAAACTTTTGTAATAATTAAAATTAAATAATGAGACTTGATAGTATATTTTTTACCATATTCATATTCAATTATGGTATAACAGATGTAAAAAATTTCAATGGATTTCTTCTTCACCATCACCAAATTTTAGGTTACTTCATCACTAAGAAACTATGTTAAAAGACTATTAATTAATGAGACATATTATATATACATTCGTAATAGTTAAAATAATATAATGAGGCTCGATAGTATATTCATTCACCATAGTCATATTGTATAATGGTATAATAGATGGAAACAATTTTAATAGTTTTCTTATTCACCATCACAAAATTTTAGGTTACTTCATCACTAAGAAACTATGTTAAAAGACTATTAATTAATGACACATATTTCACATAATTTCGTAATAGTTAAAATAATATAATGAGGTTCGATATAATACTTATTCACCATATTCATATTATATTATGGTATAATAGATGTAAACAATTTCAATAGTTTTCTTCTTCACCATCACCAAATTTTAGGTTACTTCATCGCTAAGAAACTATGTTAAAAGACTATTAATTAATGACACAAATTTTATAAACTTTTGTAATAATTAAAATTATATAATGAGGCTCGATAGTATATTTATTCACCATATTCATATTGTATTATGGTATAATAGATGTAAACAATTTCAATAGTTTTCTTCTTCATCATCACCAAATTTTAGGTTACTTCATCACTAAGAAACTATGTTAAAAGACTATTAATTAATTACACATATTTCATAAACTTTTGTAATAATTAAAATTAAATGATAAGGCTCGATAGTATATTTTTTACCATATTCATATTCTATTATGGTATAACAGATTTACACAATTTCAATAGTTTTCTTCTTCACCATCACCAAATTTTAGGTTACTTCATCACTAAGAAACTATGTTAAAAGACTATTAATTAATGAGACATATTTCATATACATTCGTAATAGTTAAAATATATAATGAGACTCGATAGTATATTTATTCACCATATTTATATTGTATTATGTTATAATAGATGTAAACAATTTCAAAAGTTTTCTTCTTCACCATCACCAAATTTTAGGTTACTTCATCACTAAAAAACTATGTTAAAAGACTATTAATTAATGACACATATTTCATATCATTTCGTAATTGTTAAAATAATATAATGAGGCTCGATAGTATATTTATTCACCATATTCATATTGTATTATGGTATAACAGATGTAAACAATTTCAATAGTTTTCTTCTTCACCATCACCAAATTTTAGGTTACTTCATCACTAAGAAACTATGTTAAAAGACTATTAATTAATGACACATATTTCATATCATTTCTTAATTGTTAAAATAATATAATGAGGCTCGATAGTATATTTATCCACCATATTCATATTGTATTATGGTATAATAGATGTAAACAATTTCAATAGTTTTCTTCTTCACCATCACCAAATTTTAGGTTACTTCATCACTAAGAAACTATGTTAAAAGACTATTAATTAATGAGACATATTTCATATACATTCGTAATAGTTAAAATAATATAATGAGGCTCGATAGTATATTGATTCACAATTTTCTTATTGTATAATGGTATAATAGATGTAAACAATTTCAATAGTTTTCTTCTTAACCATCACCAAATTTTAGGTTACCTCATCACTAAGAAACTATGTTAAAAACTATTAATTAATGACACGTATTTCATATACATTCGTAATAGTTAAAATAATATAATGAAGCTCGGTCGTATATTTATTCATCATATTCATATTGTATTATGGTATAATAGATGTAAATAATTTCAATAGTTTTCTTCTTCACCATCACCAAATTTTAGGTTACTTCATCACTAAGAAACTATGTTACAAGACTATTAATTAATGACACATATTTCACATAATTTCGTAATAGTTAAAATAATATAATGAGGTTCGATAGAATACTTATTCACCATATTCATATTGTATTGTGGTATAACAGATGTAAACAATTTCAATAGTTTTCTTCTTCACCATCACCAAATTTTAGGTTACTTCATCACTAAGAAACTATGTTAAAAGACTATTAATTAATGACACATATTTCATATCATTTCTTAATTGTTAAAATAATATAATGAGGCTCGATAGTATATTTATCCACCATATTCATATTGTATTATGGTATAATAGATGTAAACAATTTCAATAGTTTTCTTCTTCACCATCACCAAATTTTAGGTTACTTCATCACTAAGAAACTATGTTAAAAGACTATTAATTAATGAGACATATTTCATATACATTCGTAATAGTTAAAATAATATAATGAGGCTCGATAGTATATTGATTCACAATTTTCTTATTGTATAATGGTATAATAGATGTAAACAATTTCAATAGTTTTCTTCTTAACCATCACCAAATTTTAGGTTACCTCATCACTAAGAAACTATGTTAAAAACTATTAATTAATGACACGTATTTCATATACATTCGTAATAGTTAAAATAATATAATGAAGCTCGGTCGTATATTTATTCATCATATTC